TGGAACCGTTTAAGTACGGAACTGAACTGATATTAATTTACTGAATTGAACTGGACCTGGAATTTTAACTGAAAATGATACTGAACTCAAGAACCGGGACTGAAACAATGAAATACGGGTTGAACCGGTCCAGCCGGTCTGAACCGGTCTGAACCGGCCTGGACCGGACTGCCGGTCTGCTGAACCGGGCAGTCTGGTTTCGGCCCTTTTCTCGACCTTCTTGGAACATCTCGACCATTGGCTCTCGGCGTGCTCGGGCCTCGAAAGCCACTTCCGCATCATTCCTCCCCCCTTCGAATGAGTCCTTGTCCTCAAGGACTCGCCAATGACCATCACTTGGGGCGTCTCCATCTCTTCATCCGCATTGTCCTCCACATGCGTCTCGTCATCATGGCCTTCTTCGACTACGACCAAAATCTCCTCCTCATCCAAAAACTTTTTTGCTTCGCTAATCTCCGTTCGTATTTGGAGCAACGACTTTTTCACCCGTTCGTGGCAATCGTTCAAGGTGACCGTCATGTTTTTGAGTCCAGCCTTCACGTTTACGAATTCATCCTTCACGGACCTCAATATTTCCGTCGGATCCCATTGCGATCGTCGTTGTTTCTCCTCTCTCGATTGTACCCTCTTCTCCCACGAACGCCAACTTGATTCGATCTCTTCCTTAGAAAACATATATTTTTTTTTTTCTGTTGGTCACGCACAGACCAACAAAACAAGATTTTTTTTTAACTCACGCACTCTTATAAAAAAACAAATAAAACCTTTTTTTTTTGACCTCCCACGTAAAAAAAAAATAAAAGATGAGAATGATAGATAGGAAAAGAAATAAGAATAAATCTATATCATTGAATCCAAGACATCAATGGTCATGATCGTGTCAAAGTTTAGTCAATCATTAATGGTAGTATGGTAATTTAACACATAATGGTGTCAAAAGTGCCTATTTCACAATTAATTAAGGGTAAAATTGTGATTACACCCAATCACACACCAAACATGGTCCCACACCCCAACTTACCCGTCACCTTCCACACCCCAACTCTCCCCATTCCTTATCTCTCACACACAAATACACACACCTCACAGTTTCTTCCAATATCACACACACACACACACACACACACACACAGGAGGCACACACACAAACACACAATTGCACCACCACGACCCCGCCCTCTTCATCCATAGCCCCGTCGCCTGCCGCCGTCCCTTCCTTCCGCTGCCTTCCCTTCCTCCCGCCGTCGGTCGACCTCCCGCTGCCACAATACATATACGCACAGCCTCCCCTCGCTCAGCCGCCGGCGAGATAGATCCATCCTCTCTGTCAATATCCCAGCCAACTCCTCCGCCGTCGAACATCATGAACATAGCTCCGCCCCCACACCTTGCAGCAATTCACGGCGGCCGCGCTGGAGCATTGGATGAACGCGCTCGTCTCGCCGGGACCCGACCGGCGCGCATTCATGGACGAGGTTTCACCTTATAGTCGACGGAGGGGAGAGATGGCCAGGCTTTGATCAGGCGACGGTGGCGACCTTGGGCATGGACGACTGGAACAATCTTTGTGAATTGGGGGTTTCTTGATTGAAAATTAGATGATTTACATGGACCCAACTGCAATTATACAAATTTAAATATATCACAATTTAGTACACTGTGTAAATCTGTAATTTACTAAAAGTTAAAACATGAAAAATATTACTACATAAAATGCACATTATAACATTAAAAAATCTTGTTATAATTTACGAAATTACAAAGTTGTCCATTGGTCTATACAATCGAATCATAAATTTATCTAAATTTACTAAAATGTTACCGTGCATCTTACAAATATTTATTGTTCGGTCCTGCGAACGCCGGCCAAAATGTAAAATTTGAAATAATCGAATCGACCTTAAAAAAAATTAAAATTGAACCGACGGAACTTTTGTTCCAGAGCAGGTTAAAGTTGTAGTCAAAGAATTGGTTTATTCGGTCGGATAACTACATTGACAAACATAATCGAAATAATTTATTATTTGTATTATGAAAATACATATTATATATAAAAATATAAATAATATTTTTTTACATATTTTGGTTGGTTCAAATATTTCAGTTATTTTATAAATAAAGCTGAAACCGATTCAAACTAACTAAAATTTGAAATTACAAAAAGATAACCGAAATCACATATAAAATCATACAAAAAATTTATTTATGCGGCTTTGGTCGGTACATTGTTACACTAAAGTGCAATGTCACAAGAACAAATGTGCATCTTCTCAAACACTATTGTGCATTGTGTACCGCGGGTGTTTTTAACGTGCATATCCCAACTTTAATAGTAAAAAATAATCGAACTGAAATTTAAGTTTTGGAACCGAATTTAATTTGGCCAGATTCTACTGCTATTGTGCAATATTATAGTGATTGATGTGCAATTCGTATAACACTATTGTGCATTTGCGGAGTAAACATTTATTAATGATTTGTTCCAAACTAAACTAAAATCGAACTGAAACAATCGATTTATTCGATCGGTTAACCGGATTACTCTTTATACTTGTAATAATTTATTATTTTTATTATAAAAATTGTTAGTACTTTATCTTATTCTTTATTTAAAAATTTATATCATTTTTTGTTTGAAGAGACATTTTTTATAAGATATTGAAATCAATAATGTGCATTCTCACAGACAATCATGTACATTTGGTTTAAAATTATCGTGCACTCTATTGATTGAGTAATTTTATGTGCATTTTAAGTTAGAAACTTTTTTAATGTGTACTTCACTCAATTATTTTGCTTTATTGATATAATATAACTACATCTAGCATTCAAATTTTTTATTTAATATTATTATTTGATTAAAATAAATAACTATTCATAAAAAATATAAAAATACTATTTTTTAATAATTCGGTCGGTTCTTTTATTTCTTTATCTTTTTAAAATAAAGTTAAAACTGAACCAAAATAACTAAAATATTAATATATATGTTAACATGCACATTAATTTATAACATTTAGTCAGTCGGTGTCATTGTGTGAAAGACAGTGTTATGCTGATGTGCATTCTCGAATTCGTTAATGTGCATTTGGCATAACACTATGATGCAGCCTGTTAGTCACTAATGTGCATCATGTTTAATACATTTGTGTATTTTGCAGTGCAATATATATATTTTTAATGTGCAAACTAAATTAAAATCGAAACGAAATAATTGAGTTATTCTTTTGGCTACCTAAAAAATGGAAATAATTTTTATTATTTATATCATAAAAATATTTAGTATTTTAATATTTTTAATTAATATTTTATATTGTTTTTTATTTGAAAATATCAAAATACATAATATATATATATGTGTCTAAAAACATAAAAATATTTTATATATTTCTTATAAAAAATTACGAATTTGACATATTCAAAATTAATCAAAAGCATTTAAAGTGCTAATGGGCGTTTCTTAATGCATTGCACCACATATTACTGTACAGTTAACTTTTAGTAAATTATACATTAATATCAATTAAAATAAACTCTATTAAAATTTCTACAATTGCAATTAAGGCCCTAGTATTGTCAAATTTTCAAACTAAAGTCCTTTAACATACATTAACCCTATCCCCCAAACTAACGCTATCCCCACCCAATCCCCACCTAACCCCGCTGTCGGCTTCATTCATCACCCGCGCCGTGCAATTTCATCCACCCGCGTTGTGCAATTTTCATCCTATCGCCGTGAAATTTCAAATTGCCGGAATTCAAATTTCGGATGGTCCTAAACACCATCAATTTCTCTCGTTGGATCGCTGACGAATATAGTATGACGAGTTCATTATCCCACTACGCCTGCTCGATCTCTCTAACGATCTTCCGGCGACGCCGCCGCAAGAGGCGGCGGCGATGGAGTTCAATGAAGGGATAGATAAACTGTAATGCCCCGTTTATTTGTGAAATAGTTGAGGTTATTTGTTTATTTATTTATTTCATTAATTGTTATGTTATTACTTATTATTAAATGCCTAATTGTTATTATTATT